CACAGGAGGTGGAATCTTTCTGGGGGGGAGAGTTTGGTGGAAATCTGCTCAATGGCAAACACTTTTAGGTGCTCTGTGTTTTTGTGGTGTTTCAGGAGGAAGTGGCGTGGGACGCTATGCTCAGTGCACATTCTTGCCTCTCACCTCCTTGTTTCTCTCTCCCCGCCTTCATCCCCGCCCTCCTCGGCAGCCCCACCCACTTTATGTTTATTCCACATTATCGTCAGTCACCTCCTTGCTTCCCCCCCCCGCCTTCATCCCCGCCCTCCTCGGCAGCTCCACCCACTTCCCCGCATTCAAAAAAGCAGTTTTTCCCGCCAACCTTCCCCTCACTTTCCGGCTTGAAAAAGAAGACCTGGCTCTTCGAAACGCGTAGCCGCAACAGGTCAGCACAGAAAACAGACGTCGTGTGAACAAGCCCTTAAGCTGACTCCTGCTGCACTTTAATTGAGTGTGTAATAACCTCTTTTTCGGAGGAAAATGAATACTCCGCCTGTGACTGATGTCTGCTTTCTATGCTGGTCAGCTTTGGCAGCCTCGGTGTGCACTCTGCTTCAGTGCAGGTATCCACATCTCGTTTCTGGATTCCTGCATCTGGATTATTCCCTCTTTATACAGTGTGGGGTCTGTTCATGAATGCAGCTTCTCCTTTTACACAATGAAATATCCATCTTATTACTTCTTTTCTTTCCTGGAACTTCAACAGACATGACACTCTGTTACCTGACTGTATATCCCCTGTGGTAAACTATACGTCTGGAGATTCCCTTGGCACCTATTTATTGGAAGATAGATCCTGTTTCTTACCTGTACCTGACTGATTATCCATAAATACAATCAGGCACCACGTGTTATTGTGTCTATCACACCTCTGTATCATCAGCTTATATTTTTACTTGGTTGTCCTCCACATTCCTGGAGAGGTTCATCATTCTTTCAGATAGCAACTTCCCCCTTAGTGGTGCTACCTGTCCTGTTCTAGAACACCAAATTATTTCTTGGTGCTTTTTCTTTTTAGTAGCAGTTCCATATTAACTTAATTTTTTATATAGCCTTGTTCAGACATAGATTTCTTCGATTTTTCTTCTAGTAAGATTTTCACATTCATTGGATTTCTCAGTAGCTGTTGCCAACCCCTCAGTTGGATTGCTTTTCGATATCTAAGAATTTATAAATCTCTGAGTTCCTCAATGGATGATAACAAAAAAGATTTTTGTATGTAGCGTAAAATATTTTTCTTGAAATCAATTGAGGGACACAGGTCCCTTCTCCCGTGTTTTTGGCCTTATGTACTGCTTGATCAAAAACTGAGGCATGACAGTTAGAGGCAGGGTTTGGCAGGGGCTGACTTAAGAGTGTTGTTGTGTTCAAACCACCTGAAGATGGCAGTATACCTATATGTCCAAAATGCCTACATCCCTGTGTCCCTTATGGGGCAAAGAAAAGCTTTTACAGTAAAAAAAAATCAAATACTAACTAATCTAAAAAGACAGAAGCTACAGGATTTGAGATGTATAACCAGAACCTTGTATTTCCCTCCTATCCTCCAGCTTATCCGCAGCAATGCTGAAGCTGGACATTGCACCGAGATTCAGGACCTTCAGACGCTGGGAGCCTGTGACGGCGAGTATGATCAGCAGTATGAGACTCTCTTCCCTCTCGGAAAAGGCGCTTTTGGCTTTGTATGGTCAGCTAAACACAGGGAAGATGTGAAGGAGGTTAGTTTTTGCAAGTAGATTTTTCTTATTGATGTATTGCTGTGAGTTGGGGTTTTTTTTCTTTGTAAGGTATTTCTTAGAGCATTTCAAAAAGAAAATTGACTGAATTTCATATTGCAGTCACAAAATATAGAAAACGGGTTTTCAAAGATAACTGACCATTTTCAAGGTATTAAGACATGTCATAAAATGGGATACAGAGAGTATATATGACATTTTATGACATGCTATGGGCAGAGCTGGATCATCCAGGGCAGCCTAAGTAGGATTGTAGGGTCCAGTGGATGTTCAGCTTCTATGGTCCTTCAGTAAGCCAGGGGATAGCACGATTGGTCAAATTTGTTCACCTGCCTGTACCTTCAACAGGTAGGATAATTTGTAAGCAATTATTGTCTGATAGGTAGGGGATGTTCCAATACAGGCAAAGCAAATGGAGAAATCCTTATCAATGTCAGTCAATATTAAAGGTAGTAGAAAATACACTATGATCATGCATAATAATGTATATTTTTCAATTAGGTTGTAGTAAAGTTTATTCGTAAAGATCGAGTGCTCGATGACTGTTGGGTGCAGGATCCTGAACTTGGGAGGGTAACTCAGGAGATTTCTATTTTGTCCAGGTTACAGCACCCCAATATTATCAGGGTAAGTGCATTACTTATTCATAAAGTTTCTCTGTATTTTGGAATGTCTTGCACAATACACAACAGTAATCGTGATGATCACGCTGTAAATTACATTTCATTATGTATTTTAAGGCCATGTTCGTAAATACCTCCATGCAAAATTGTATAAATATGGAATTTACATAACTCTCTGATTCCAAATTTGTCACTCAATAATGTTCTGTAGAAGAGGTCTTAGTAGCAGTAACAGTTTGCATTAAATACAGTATTGAATATTCATCTTTGTACATAAGTATATCCTTTTCTATGTTGCTTTCTAGGTACTGGGGGTGTTTGAGAATGATACATTCTTTCAGCTAGTAATGGAACTGCATGGAGATGCTCTTGACCTCTTTGACTTTATTGACAGTCAGCCAAATCTGGATGAACCTCTTGGCAGCTACATCTTTCGACAGGTGAGATTAGTTCCTGTTGGTGTTTTTATAAGGCCTCGTTTACTCGGACGACTAAGGGGCGGTAAAATCAAGCAATTGTACCACTCACCAGCTATGTGCTGCAATGTTAGCTTCACAGCCGGACAGTGCAGTATATGTGCTTTGTGGTGTGCAAAAATTATACAGCATGTTGCGTTTGGCAGGCGGCACCGCCTGCCAAATGCGACCATAGAAGTGAATGCCAAATGGTTGCGGCACAGTAGCTCCATGGAAACATCTTCCTTGGGATTAAAAACCCAGCAGCAGTATCTACTCCTAAACCCCGGCAGCCTCTGTTCTACCGCCCTGTGAAAAGAAATCCAGTGCTAATTGCTTTTCAGATGGTAATAGAACCTGCTGCCCATGTAAACAAGGCCTTAGTGACATGGATGAAAGGAAAATACTGTTTATGCTGTGTTTAGAATAATCCCAGGCATGAAGTGCCTCCAACTACCTGTAGTGAGCTGACAACCCAGTGCCTTTGCTGTACTGAAATTCCAAGCAGGGTTATCAGCCTTTCCAAATTAATTTCTGTGAATTTTAGATCACCTCACCCTTCTGTTATAAAGAGGGAAGTAGTCGGGAATACTGTAGAACGGCCTTTCTCAATCAGTGTGCCGTGGCACACTGGGGTGCCTTCTGGCTTCCTCAGGGGTGCCTTGAAATTTTGTTATGGTAGGACTCTAAAGGGGAAACTCAGATGTAAAAGCGGGGATTTCAATATGAAAGGGGGGCTTCTATTGTAAAGGGCACTCTGATGTGAAGGGTGGTTCCTAATTTGAAGGGAAGACTCCAATGCAAAGGGAGGAACCTCACTTTTTTGTGTGTTTTTGCGGGAGGACACTCCCGCCCCCCCCCCTAACGTTTTAGACTGGGGGTGCCTTGAGATTTTGCATACTTTTTAAGGGTGCTGTGAGTGAAAAAAGGTTGAGAACTGCTGCTCTGGAAGACACTTCAGGTTATGTTCAGGTAAGCTTTTTAAATTTGGGATAATTTGCTGTCTATAGGAAGTTTCACACTAAGAAAAGTTGTTGCCCTCCTATTGGCTCCCCTGCAGTAGACAATCACAGATCTTTACTTAATATCTGTAAGAGATGGTAGCTATTACATAGCTACCCTTTTTGCCCTAGCTTTTGGCAGATTCTACAAGATGGATGTCTGCATTTTTTTTTACATTTTCCTTTTGTTCACATGCCTTTTCACTATTCCCATTCAATTACTGGATGTCTTGTTGTTTTGTCACATGCAGTTTAGTAGGTTAGACTTCACCTGGGACTGACTGACTGAATTTCAGTATAGTTCATAGGGGAGGGAAATTGTGTCAAGCCAGCTATGTGGAGGGTATATACCCTAAAGGATGCCCCATAAAACATAGCAAGAAATGGAGTTTAGAGTGAATTAAGAAAAAAAATCACCTTTTCTTTGTCTGTTTGCAGTTGGTATCAGCAGTGGGATATCTACACAGCCACTGTATTTTGCACCGGGACATTAAGGATGAGAACATAATAATTGCCCCTGACTTCACTATAAAGCTAGTTGATTTTGGCTCTGCTGCTCGTTTACTGCCTGGGAAGCTGTTTTCTACCTTTTGTGGCACCACCGAATACTGTGCACCAGAGGTGCTGCTCGGCAATCCGTGAGTGAATTTATTTTTTACAGATTACCTATATGCTGGCTAAAGGAAGTCCTATTTACCGTCTAGAGGTCCCATTGTCTCCTTGCAATGCTTCTCTAGTGGACAGCACAAAAGTAAGACATGATTTGGTTTGCTCGGTAAGACAAAGGGCTTTATGCTAAATGCAGTAGAAATCCAATCAGAATTTATCTTTAGCTGATCAGATTATAGGAACTAGAAGCTGAAATAAATGAAGTCCAATAGAAATAGAAGATAAAGCCACTGCACCCTCTGGCCATGACAACAACAAACATGACAGTCACATGACTGAAAATAAAGAAACTTATCCTTATGTGAAGCTTGGTGAATTGAGCCTATTGCAGTGTAATAATATAAGTGCCTTATTTTTGGCACAGCATGCTACAGATTACAATGCTTTTTTTTACTGGGCAAGTCAATTAAGATTCCAGCAGAAAGATAATTTCGGTAATTTTGTGCAGAGCTGTAGAGCACTGGAACTCAACTCTGAACACAGAATTGCAGTTTATTCTCCCTTTGGCCTGTATTCTTATCTAAACAGTTGACTAGTGACAAAATCTTAACATTTGAATAGACTATTTGACATATGACTCAATATTTAAGATATATTGAAAGTATTAAAGTATTAAAAACAGTGTAATTTATAAGTGTTTGTTCCTGAACATCAGCCAGGGCTGCTACATAGAATACGTTATAATAGGCATCATGAAAAGCGAGGACAGGATGAAAAGAAATTCTAGAGGTTTGTACAAAGAACACAACTTGCTTTCTGTGAGGTCAGTCCAGCTGGACACAAGATTACTTAGTACATGTCTTTTGGGGAACACAGGCTTCTTATAACAAGGCCTTGTTATGCTGGTTACTAATGATGTAATGTTTTGTGGAAAGGCAATAGAACAGAATATTGGAGAAATACGGGAAATGCATGTAACTCTTACAAGGACACAACTATTATTTTGTTATGATGGTTTTTAGTCCTAGCAGTAAGAACTGTATCACTTTGTTTCTGTGGCATCTTTGCTATGTGAGTCATTTTACAGGTAAGTGCTTTTTCTCTATTGTCTATTGAGGGACATAGCTTGGTAATAGGCAACCTAGGGTTGTAATGCTATCTACAGGGTCAGTGGACACCATGAAAAACTAAAGTCCAGAACCCTTGGGTCTATACCAGCTCAAACCTGCACAGTTTTGCTTAGTGTCCTTAAGGAGAATGGCAAAAATACCTAGCAATAAATTAACCGCAATCAAACAGTAATATAATAGTTCATAAATGTAAACCCAAAAAATAATGAATGTGGAAATGACAAAAACTCACACAAAGTGCAAGCTGCGCAGTCCATTGAAAAATGGAAAGTTTGTGATAATAGTGATGCCTAAATTTGTTCACTGATTATTTCCATGTTCTGTCATTAGAGATAAATCCACAGGAATCATCCACCATATGCCTCTCTGTGCCCCCCAGTCAGGGTTAACTCACCAGATAGCCATGACCTTATAATGAACAAGGTCTAATGTAATTTATTCCCACCTGCGGAACGTTGCAACTTCCCTAGAGCGATATTCCAATTTCAGCCACTCCAAATCGATTGTATCAGGAACACAAGCTTCATAGTATCAGACCAAACACTTTAAAGGAGAACTGTGGGGTCAGTGCTTTTCCCCATAGTTCTCCCCAGGGTCACGGGAGGACACAAACTAGCGTCCTCCCGTCACCCTAAGCTCAGTATACCACGAGCTACAGCTCGCAGTATACCGAGACTGCCGCAGCCGGGACGGATCCCGACATTACTGTCGAGATCCACCCAGCTGCGTGATTGACTATCTAGAGGCAGAGCCAGCTGTACCCTCCCCCGTCAGCGCTGGAGGATCGGACAGGGGAGGGGGGGAATCCTTGCAGGGAGCCGTGAGTGACAGTCATGGCTCTCTGCAGGGACAGGATGGAGAAGTGAGTTGGCGACGTTATGTGTTCGCTCACTTCCCGATCTATTGAGCCGACGTGTGACAGTTTCATTGCCACACGTCGGCTCGAACTATGAGGCTGAGTGATTTTCACTCACCTCATAGTTCTCCTTTTAATAAAAGTTTAAATAACTTAACATACCTACACTTTTCTGGTGCTATACCAGCACCAAACTATTAGGCTCAGTCCTCCTCTCTCCTATCGCCTCCTAGAGTAGGCGCATACCAGATGATGTCACTGGCCCCGTCCCGCAGAAGTGTTTTCTTCCGTTACCCCCTTGTATGTCCTCAAAAGTTTTGTCCTCATCTTTGAGACTTCTTGGCATCCATTGACCTAACAGATGCATATTTTTACATTTCTGTCTTTCTAGGTAATCAGTGATTTCTTTGTTTTGCTGTGGGCCATAACCTCTATCAATTTGTGGCCTTTCCCTTTGGCCTTCCCTCAGCCCCAAGAGTATTCAAAAAGGTTCTTACACAGGTTCTGGCTTCTTTATCTCTGAGACATTCCAATCATTGGATACCTGGACGATCTGTGGCTGCAATTGCAGACATCCCTGACCATGGACTCCAATTCACAATTCAATTAAAGTCATCTCTGATTCTGTCACATCACTTGGAGTGCTCGGGGCTTCCCCTGGATACCTTTCAGGCTAAAGTCTTCCTGCCCCAGGAGAAGATGATGAAACTGCACAATTAGATTTTGCCACTTCAATCCCGATGAGTGTCTTCTCAGCGGACCTTCATACAAGTGCTGGGAGTGATGCTATCCAATGTCAAAGTGGTTCCATTTGCTCAATTCCACTTCAGAACTTTGCAACCGAACAGTCACCCAGAGTGGGACAAATCCAGTATTTCTCTTGAAAGATGATCAGTTTACTTCCGTAAACCAGGATGTCTCTGTCATGGTGGCTTTTGTCCCCGGCATTGTCAGAGGGCAGGATTTATCTTGCATTGGGAGATTGTCAAGATGGATGCCAGTCTTCTGGGTTGGGGCAAAGTTCTGGACCATCTGTTCAGGGTTGTTAGTTTCTGTGAGAATTGAAACATCCTAGAGTTAGGAGCAATTTGTTGGTTGTTTATTTGACTCCCCTTTTGATAGGTTCTCTAATCCAAATTCATTTGGATATGTGGCATCGTGGTGACTTACCTAATTTCCCAGGGGGCATCACAAGCGTTGCGCCAAGCATGGAGGTAAAGTCCATCCTGTCTTGGGCTTTGTGTTCCAACAATTTCCATGGTGGAAAATTGGCAGGCAGTTTTTCTCAGTAGGGAAGGTCTGAATCCAAGTGAATGGCCTATTCACTTGGAGGTGTTTCAGGACATACATCTGCGTTGGGGGACGCCAGATGTGTATTTCCTAGTGTGAATCAAGAATCAACAAGAGGCTTCTAAGAGACGGGGATATTTCAGATTCCGTAATCCCATCCATGCTCAAAGCTCATAAATCCGCTTCCCATATGGTTTATTATTCAAGACTTTTTTTTCCTGGTTTGAGTCTGGGGAGGGATTTCTCCACTTGTTTTTTCAGTGGGCCGTTTTTGTTCCTTCTTCAGTTGGTGGTAGAACAAAACTTGGCCTTTAGTACCACCAGTCTTTTCTTTTTCAATGTCCTCTTGTTAATCGTAATTTGTACTTGTAAACAAGGGATTACACACGTTGCTCCCCCTGTTAGACCTCCTCTGCAACCGTGTGACTTAAACCTAGTATTGTCAGTGTTACAAACAAAAAAAAAAGCATTTTAACCTATTCAGGGCATTTCCTTAGCATTGCTTTCCTTTAAGGTAGCCTTTCTTGTACCCATTACTTCAGAAGGGTTTCTGAGTAATCAGCATTATCCTGTAGGAAGCCACATTTGGTCTTACATAAAGACAAGGTTCTTTTGAGACGGAAGCACATACTTTTTTCTACATTCCCTGTGTCTGACATTGGTTCAACCTAAGGAGATATGTCTGCATTGTCTGGATGTGGCGAGGGCTGTCAGGGTTTACCTTTTTGGCCTCTGCTCCTTTTAGGCAGCCAGATTGCCTGTTTGTCATTCTAGAAGGTCCATAAAGGTTCTCTGGCTTCCAAATGCACTATTTCGAAGTGAATTCCCCACTAGAGCTTCTTGGGTCTTTTGTCACCAGGCCTCTGTGTGTCAGATCTGTAAGGCTGTGCTTGGTCTTTTGTGCATAGGTCCTCTAACTTCTATAAGGTTGATGTATCTGCTTCATTGGATGCTAGTTCTGATTTGCCAGGTTCTGCTAGCTGCTGTTTAATGCCCTTGATTTCCCTTTTGGTTTTGAACCTTTTTTTCTTGCTGGGCTGTTTTGCCAGTTTTTGCTTTTGTGTGCTCATCCCTGTGGACTGCTTTTGGACGTCCCTGGTTTGCTTTTTTACCATTACTCGGTCCAGAGTCCAGATATGAACACAGCTCCTTTCCCGTTATATACCATCATTCTCTCTTTGGACTGGTTTCTACAGCTGAGCAGGTGGGATAATTTAATAATTTATAGCCTTAAGGGGGCTCGCTTTTAGTTTTCTAAGTGCCTAGTGTCCATTTTTCCTGTGGGCAGCAGTATAACCCTAGGTTGCTTATGACTAAACTGTGTCCTTCAATAGACTCCAATAAAAGATTTTACAGTGAGTAAAACATTTTTTTTTCAACATCTTTTAAGGTATCCTGGTCCAGAGCTGGAAATGTGGTCTCTAGGAGTGACTCTCTATACCCTCATTTTTGGAGAAAATCCTTTCTGTGAAGTTGAAGAGATCTTGGAGGCAGAACCGAATCCTCCATTTGCTGTATCCCAAGGTGAGAATCATACCTTACCACAACATTTGCTAATCTAGAGGTTCACACACACTGTGATAGACTCCATCAGCAGTTCTAAAACTGGTGGAGTGCATTGTCTGTGTAAAATAATTGCTTTCTCCATACAGAATCTTATACAGTGGCCTCGTCACTATGCAAATCCCAAATTGTATCTCCCTATTAACCAGTTGACATCCGCGGTGTTAAACCCCCTTCCCATCCAGGCCATTTTTTAGTATTCAGCGCTGCGGTACTTTGACTGACATTTATTCCGTCAGGCAGCGCTGTACTGAAATTAATTTTATACCCCTTTTTGGGGACAGAGAGCTTTCTTTTGGTGGTATTTATTCACCACTGGGGGTTTTATTTGTTACTATATTAAGGAAAAATTACTGAAATTTAAAAAAAAACAACAGTTTCCCCTATATTAAATGATAAAACATTTATTACCCAATTTTTTGGTAAAATATAAAAGACGGGGTCACGTCGGGTAAAAAGACATGTCAAGCCTTAAAATTGCGTGCGCGCGCGAAACCTCAAAAAACGATAATACCCAAAATTGGCCAAAAACGAGCACATATAGATGATCGGCGGGCTATGGAGCCGCCGATCTTCTATATGTGAAACACCCGGTAACGGGGGTTTGCATTGGTCGGGTCTTTTCTGCCCGTGCGTGCCTGCTAGGGCACGCACGGAGTGCAATCCCATAAGGCATTGCATGACTCCCAGAAGCATGATGGGATTTGTAGTTTCAGCTGGAGAGCCAAGGTTGCCTACCCCCGCCCTAGACCAAAAGGAGCAGTTACTCTTTACAGTGCGGGGGGTAGTCCCACTGCAAGGGTTCATATTTACATTTCTACATTTTCCTACTTAAATTACCTGTTATTGTTAATATTAACTGTTTGATTTTCTACTTCTAGAATTGCAAGACCTGATTTCTGGTCTTCTTCATCGGGATCCTGAAATGCGCATGACTCTTGATGAGCTCCTCAGGGACCTGTGGGTGACGCAGCCTGTAAACCTTGCTGAATATACCTGGGAGGAGGTGTATTCAGCTAACTCCCAGAAAGGTGAGAGCCTAACTACATTACTGACATTTAATAACAAACATGGCAGGAAAGATCGATGAAGATCCATCTGTTTCTGACTGTTCTGATAATCCAGAATAAAGTAACACAAAATCCCTAGTGAGTGACTTCTCAGATTCTCCTCACAATAGGGAAAACATTTCATCTTGACCTTGAGGAACACAGAAACAGGTATGGCATCCCTGGCCACAGATGACCTCTACCCTATTTGTCTGAAAAGGTGGAAGCCTGCTTGTTCATGTATTAATTATCTACCCCCCTGTCACTGACACTTCATATCTAGTTACCCTCCTACCAGCCAAATTCTGTTGTTCCTGACTTTTGCCTTATATCTGGTTTTGGCCTCCTACTTGTTCAGTTGTTCACACTATCTACACTGCTCTTACTGACCCTTGTCTACTGAATTGCCATATTTCTCCTTAGAGACGTCCTGTGGGCCAAATGTAGGTTTGAAACTAGTGCATTGTTAGTCATGTTTGTAGGACATTATTACTTCTTAAAGAGGATTTCCATTTCCAGGAGGAAATTCAATGGGTATGTGAATACCCATTCATATGCCTTGTAGTTACTGACTGGCAAAGGTCTCCCCACTGAGCTGTGCCCATGCCACCACTGCTCAGTGTTCAGCTTTCTTCACTGCAACTCAGCCCAGCCTTGGAATCCCAGAGCATTTTTGATGCCAGACCCCATTAGCACAGCTTGAATTACACCCCAGTAGATTTCCAAGGCTGGAACCCCGTACTGCTCTATGGGTGGTGGTATTATCAGGTGAACAGCATGGTGGAGATGTGAGTCCAGGGCTCTGCCTGCTATCCAGCAAACCTGTTACTTCAGGCAACATACAGGTCTGCTCAAAAGTAGATCTCAACCTCTCCAGGGTTGAATGTCTTTTAACGCTGCTCATAAATCTTACAACTTTGGCTTTTGAACACTATATGGTAATAGAGGCTATTTAGAACATCAGGGATGGCATGTATGGTGGGTTACCTACCACTGACAATGGGTAGTAACTGAAACCAAAACTAGTCTGTAAATAAAATCACTTGATTGCAATGCTAGAAAACCTTGTTCGTTCCCTGAGATGAGCTACGCTCGAAGTGTCTGGCGGCAGTTCCAGTACCTGTCGTTTGAGTGTATAAGCAGCCGAGCGTACCTGTTTAAAAAGTCTAAAATCAGAGAGCTCTATAGACTATAGATACCCTACTGCAGATGATATCTGAGCTATGAGAATCTCCTATACAAAGAGAAGAAATGCATTCCTTTTTATGCGTTATGACTGTGTTTACAGATGAAGGATTGGAGCAGTTTCCTGTCGGCTACAGCACTGAGTGGAATGGAGATTTTGGGAGTCGGAAAGACTGATGAAGATACCTCCGGGAGATGCATATAATATCCAGAAGAAGCCAGACTGTAGATTACATTGCTTGTAAAGCGCTCATAACCCAACTATACCCAGATTTCACTGGAACACATACAGCAAACAAGCTACAAGAGAAGCTATTGCTTAAAAATCCAGGCCAGGTCACTAATTCACATAGCAAATAACCTCAACTGAACAAACTGGTGCTTCATCATTGCAAGTTCACAGCAAATGGTCACTGAAGAAATAGTTATGGGTCATTTGGGATACAAATTAACACTGAAAACTGAATAGAATCATCCAGCGCACATTCTACTGACATGCACAAAGGCAATGACTACACTGGAAACCAGCCTCCTCTTATAAACTCTTATCCCTGTGCCATACTGGTTTTGTGCCAAATAATGATAAGCTGACAGCTCCAGTGTTCATAGGATGCTGTAGGTGCTGTCATTTGTATGAAGAATACATAGTAAAGTAACTTGCGGAAGTTCAAGCAGCAGATATCCGCTTTTAGTCTCTGCTGTTGTTTTTAAAGTGAATAATGATCCGTTTCACATAGGAATAAAATAAGGGAACCTGTATAGGTGATGGTACTATAGTTCTATAATATACAGATATTGCCTGAAATCCGCAGTGCCCAACACCGCCACATTCAGTTTTCCATAAACATTCTCCATGGTACATTCCTACCTGTGAGCTTTGCTGTAACTGGCTGGTAATAATAATAATAAAAAAAAAACTGCTAGTGCCAACTGAGATGTGAAATAATAATGGCCAATGTATGCTTAACTTGAGATTTCCATCCTGTGTTTCAACTCAGTCATGATGCCGCACAGGCAGAGCATGGCTTTGCTGGGGGGGCATGGGCATTATATTGAGTATATAGTTTAAGAAATCAGCTAATGTGCTTAAAAGCAGCCCTTCCAGTTTGAACAGTATAATTAATAGTATATATAGTTAATAGGTTATATTGAGAGAAGAGCTAAACACCTTTACCATGATAGATGACCTATGTCGGGGACAACTATATGCAGATTTAGTAGGTGACATGCTCTCATTAATATATTGTTTTAAAGAATTCCTAAAATATACATCGACTCAGAGAAGGAACACACTGTTTCCCTGGCTATCATACCCATTCAATGGCTCCAGTACTTTCTGAGTCACAGACATAGAAAAAGTCTGCATATTTGGAGTTTTGACTTCACTTGCTGCATGTTTGTTCCAGATTAGTGACTCTAGGGGTCTGTTTATGGCCACTAGATAGAGTTGGAGGCTGGAGATTGAGCTGTGATGTAATACTGAGTTATGACCACTAGATGGAGCTCAGGAGCATAGGAAATAAATACTTCTTTCCTGAGCTCCATCTAGTGTCCATAATGCAGTATTACATCTTCATAAATTAGACCTGAAAAGAAAATATATTAAGAACATTCGTTTTTTCCATTATTCGCACAAAATGAATGTTCACAGATATTCGCAGGGTGAAAGGGCTCTGCAGATTATAAATAAATCATAAATAAGTTTATAAATAGACCCCTAAGTGTTGCAGTCAGAGAAAGCCAAGCAACTAGCAGTTTTAGATAATTATCAGCAATATGTATTATCTCAGTACAGGTTCCATTTAAAATCCTTTGAAAGTATGCATGTCGACGGTTTCATACCAGGAGGTAAGATCAGTATTGGCAGCTTGCTAATGTTGGATTAGGCTCTTGTTACCAGGTACACCTTTGGCAACACATTGAGGGTAATTAAATCTTATACTATTGAGCTAATAAACCTCTTGTTGACATTGTGCTGCAAGATGATTGCCAAAAAAATCTGAATGACTCTATAGTCATGAGAGTAAACTCCATCTGTGTAGATTATCTCTTATTCTAATAAACCGTATTTTATTTAGTACTAAAATTGCTGAGAATAATTACACAGAGAAAAAAGAGAAACAAAAGCCCCAAATCACCTGCTAATTCAAACCACATCCAGTGTTCCCCATAGGAGCCGCTTGGGTACAGATTGTTACTTTCCAGTACAGTAATCAGATCTCCATCTGTTTCTCATTACCCTTTCTTCAGCTTGTACCTGTCTCATCACTTACAGGACTGACGGATTCCTGCTGCTCTGCTTATTACTAAATGATTCTTCTGTAGCTTTCGCTGACAAATGAAAGACACGATATCCAGACGGATGTGCTGAATTAACTTGTGCCAAGCCTCTTATGTATTTGTTGACAATCAGATGTTTTTTCTTTTTAGCGGTAGTTCAGCTGTCATTTTAAACTGAAGACCCCAGCAAAGAGCACTTCTCCTGAGGCTGTGCACACCTACTAATAGTTTCTCTGGCAGTCATTTGCAAAATAAGAAGGTTATACCAGGGGTAGGCAAACTCCGGCCCTCCAGCTGTTGTGGAACAACAAATCCCACAAGGCATTGCAGGATTCTCCCAGCCACAGGCATGACTCCCAGAGACAGATGTATGATGGGGCTTGTAATGTCACCACAGCTGGAGGGCCGGAGTTTGCCCACCCCTGGGTTATACACACCTGATCCTTGAAGCCGCCTTGCACTTAGACCGGTCATCCAAGTCTCCTTCTCTGCTATGGCGGTCTAAGGTTCCTCGAGTACAATACACTACACCATCGCTGGAGGGAGCGCTGTGACAGCTGGCTGACTCCAAGGTTCGGGTAAGTATGACTTTTTTATTGTAGCACCTAGACGATGATGAGCAGTTAACCCTTCCAGTGCTGGGGTAGCCCACTGCAAAGGTTAATAAAAGTTTTGCTCCACCTTCTTCTTTAAAGTGTATGTCAAGCCAGACACTTATTTTTCGCTTTGGATAAAGTGTGGAAACATTACAAGTCCTGTCGGGTTTTTACTGCTAAACAATTAGAGCAATGTAAGCTGGCCATACACTATAAATTTTGGCCAGTTCTTGATGAACCAGACGAAATTTGTTCAGTGGGTGGCACTGTCGCCGCCTTTCCACCTGACATCATTCAATCAGAAAATTAAAGGAGCCAGATGGAACATTTTTGGGCGAACACCGATGGAAGCTAATCGGCTGGCGTCACTGCTCAGGTGTTTTGACAGCGGCATGTCGACCACTGTCAGAATACAAAGCACACAGCAGGCGATTCGTCCATCCACGCTGTTCAACATGGAATGAGGAATCTGTTATATTTTTTTAATTCAGCCCATAAGTTGAGCGAAAAAGAATATATAACCGTGTATGGCCAGCTTTACCCTCAATTCCTGCCCTGCTGACAATGGTATCACCAGACAGGAAGTGAGGGGAAATCTGCAACAGCCACACAGAAATTAAAGTCTGACATTGCCTTTAACACATTCCATGGAGTGAATAACCTTCGGTATCTGGTAGATATTATTGTATGTGTGAGAGATCTAACCGGTACAGAGTTCTCAGATACCACAGTATAAAGCTGTGACAGCGTTGGTGGGCAGCATTGTACTGAATGATATGTAAACAATGACAGTACACAGGTAGAAGCTGGCAAATGAAACTGCCCTAAAAAGTGTCAGTATTAGTAGATTCTGGGATTCCCAGCTGCCTATGTACAGCGATCGGATAAACTTGAAAGTTGTTGGCGTCTCATTTTATTTATCGCAGTTTAATTTTGTTCACGGTTTTTGTTTTTTTATGGTTTGTTTTGTTTTTATGGCTTTTTAAAGTTTTTAAGTGTAAATCATTCAAGAATATATGAAATGCACTATTAAAATCAAACTTTGCGTGGAACTTTTTTTCTTATTATAAGTGTAAAAATGTGACAGTTATTGGAGAATTGTGCATCTGGAATTGTTTTAAACATTTCAAGTTCAGGGAGGAAGGGTGCTGACACCTAAGCCTGCTGGTTCTCAAAGTGCTTAGGGCAGAAATTCAAAAACAAGGCCATGCTAACAATGGAGGTAAGTATATAAAGAACTCATAGGACACATTCTCTATTACACTGCTGATTGCCCAATGAGCAGGTAAGTCATAGCAAAAGGTTCAGAGCTGACAGAAAACATAAGGCAGGGTTCCCCAAACTTTTTAAATATAGGCAGTTCACTATCTGACACACTGACCTGCAAAAGTTTTTAAAAAATGACACGTCATTAGAGGTTAGTGGTATTAAAAATGCCCCAGTAAGGTCAGTGGGAATAAAATATGCTCTACTGCAGGGGTTCCCATTAGGTAGATCGTGCTCTACCAGTAGCTCTCAGAGCTGATGCTGGTAGATCACGAAGGGTGTGAATGGCGGCCCCTTTTATTCCATTTTGGTATATTTATTTAGCTGTGCACACATGATTACCTATTAGCCTGAGTCTGCTGAGCCAAACTCCCTGACACCTTTCTGGTGGGTACTGGTGATTGAAGTGCTAGGCATTACATCAAAGAATATTCGTTTATACAGCCTGTTGCAAAACACAGCAAGGTGAGCGGGGAGAGACAGCCAGGGGAGAGAGATCGAGGGAGGGTTTTTTTCCGTTGGTAGATCTCATGTAGCTCGTCATTTGAAAAGTAGATCTTAACACAAAAAATTGTGGGCACCCCTGCAAGTCTACTGGCTATATTACTAGTCACTAGGGGCAGCAAATGGCATCAGTGGAGAGGAAAGCTCCCCAGCATCCAAGTCAGTGGGAGTAATGAAGTGAAACGAATGACAAACGCACTCATCACTTCAAAACTAGCTTTAAAGAAATGTGCACATGGAAGTTCTTTACACGGTACAAAAACACAACATTTCCCAGCACACTCGCCAGCCAGCCTGCAAAAAAATACACTAACTATTCACGTTAAAAACAGGTTTTAGTTGCACAACCTTTACATAATCTGAGGAAGCCGCACTGCCTCGTCAAGGCCCCACTGTGTAGTGTGATCCTAACTGATCTATGAGAGCCTCCATCTTGGAGCATATATAGCAAAGGATGAATTGTTTTTCAAAAGTTGTGCTACTAAAACCTCTGTATTTAACCCTGATAGTGTAATTTTTTGCAAGTGTGCTGGGAAATGTCGTCTGTTTTTGTATTGTGTAAAGCCCGTCCATGTGCACCTTTAAATCCGGTTATGAATTGATGAGTGTGTTTTCCATTCGTTTCACTTGTTGGATTTGGTGCTG